TTCAGAAACTGAAAACATGGTCATGATAGACAGTGCATATTTGTCTTTGTAAACTGCACTGAAATGCCAGTCCTTGCCTAAAATTACAGTGCTGGATACTTTCAATTGTAAATGTGGGAGATTAGTTGAGTTTGATGGCTGATTTGTTCTTGTTCCTTTAGCTCCTCCAAAAAGGCAGGAGTCTTGTGGACGGAGTGGCAAGGGTTTGGGTGGATGGGTAGGTGCACTGCTGGTGCTGGCTTTAATTGGACTGGCCATCTGGCTTGGAGGTAAGGGAGGAGATGTATCTGTAATGACAGGACACACCATTAATGCTTATCTTGTATCTAAATCCCTCTCTTCTTTTTTCTCTTTACCACTCTCATGTATGTGGATAGTGCGTTATGGATCCAAGTCGTATTCTGTCCATCATGAGAGTGATTGCAAGGGAAACGATTGCAAGGAACAAGAACACAATGAGATGCATGATGGCATGAAGGAGACTGACACCTGCTCCAACTCCTCCATACAGTGTGATGGCATCCAAAACTGTCAACAGGCCGTTGATGAGACAAACTGTGGTGAGAACACTTTCTACAGCAAAGAGGCTGACAATCAGATGTAACTGAATCTTTCAGGACACAACACAGAGAGATTAGTGGTTGAGTGTATCAGATAGTGCTTTGGATTTAAAGTGAAACCACAAGGATGACATGTACTGCTCTGCAATAAGCATTTACAGTACACAGTAAGGCCTCTATTTACTGTGTTATGACAAATGTTGTTGAAAGTTCCACTGCAAAAAAATGAATAAAAATAAAAAAGAATCAAAATTGTGCAAGATAATAAGATTTAGGAAATGTATCTTGAATTAATTGTTAATTGTTGTGCCATTGTGTGTGTGTGTGTGTGTGTGTGTGTGATTTATGCCAATGAGGAAAGTAAGATAAGTTAATTCAAGACAGTGTTATTATTGTTAACAAAAGCTTAAACTAAAACAATTACAAACATTTTTTTATAATTAAAATAATTTATGAAATATACATATATATTAGATGAAAAATGTAAAAAAAAATAAATAAATACCTTGGCAACTTACTGAAATGTTGAGATGAAGTACTACAATTACTAAAACAAAATAAAAATAACATAAATATATGTAGAACTATTTAAAAACAATATAACTAATACAAATAGTAAAAGCACAAAAGTTCTAAAAACATTAAATGAAAACTGAAAATATAAAAATAAAAGCAAATTCAAAATATTAATGAATACAATAATAATATATTAACAACACTAAAATAACAGATTTAAGAAATCTCAGAAAACAAGTCTGAAAGTCTTGCGATATTTTTTTATTTTGTTTTAATGATGTTCAGAAATTCAGATTATTTTTTTTTTTTTTACTGTAAAACAAGACAAAAATACTAATTAAGGAAATCTAATTCCATTGTTTTAACATTCCTCTCCAATATCCTCAGTGAGATTCAGTGAAGGTGGAGTGTTGCAGGTCAGAACTTCTCAGGATGGTCGATTCCTTCCAGTGTGTAATCAGGGATTGGATCAGAGTTATGCTGACCAGATCTGTGAACAACTGGGCTTTAGAAGGTACACATATTTATCTACCACTAACAAGAATACTTAATAAAAATGAAAATTCAGCCTCATGTCTGGCCAAACCCATACAACTGTCCTTATTTAGTGGAAAATAAAGCATTTTGAAGAATAGTCTGCATGACTTGTACATTCTGTTTTTTTGTTGTTGTTGTTTGTTTTGTTTTTTTGTGTTCCATGGTAGAAAATAAAGGTCATACAGGTTTGGAACAACATGAGCATAAATGATAAGAGATTTTTCAATTCTGGGTGAACTATCACTTTAATGCATTAATGCATCTGAACTCAAATATGAATCTTGTCCCAACAACAACTATTTTAACTGATGCCTCGCGTTTCTGTCCCTTAGGTCTTATGCATCAAATCCAGTTGATAGCAAGACATCAGTAGCCCTTACTGTAGGACCTAGATCAGCCAAACTAATACAGGGTCTGGTCAATGTCAGGTAAGACTAGATTACAGTATATCAGAGCAGATGTTTTGTTATGTCAAGACAACAGTCCCCTCAATAGTACATAATGTCTTTTGTGATTTTTGTTTGTTCAGTTTGGGCTGTCAGGATGAGAAAGCAGTCTCACTTGAATGCACAGGTAGAAATAAATCTATTTTTATTAAACCACCAGTCATATTTAATCTCAGTTTATGTCTAATAACTGTGATGCATAACTAAATGATACACGTGATACATCAGCGTAAACCTTTGTTAATTCCATTTGTTAATGAGACATTGTGAGACATTGCGTGGGTGAGTAATGGATGATTCATCTCACGTTCAATTATGGAATTAAGAGGTTTTTCTTTTCTTTCAGACTGTGGCAAGCAGCAAAGTGCCTCCAGGATCATAGGGGGCAGCACCTCTCAGCTTGGCCAGTGGCCTTGGCAGGTTAGCCTGCATTACAGCGGAAGTCATGTTTGTGGTGGATCACTCGTCTCTCCAGACTTTGTTGTGTCAGCCGCCCATTGCTTCAAAGGGTTGGTATTCACTCATTCAGCTAGTGATGGAAGGAACAAAGTTGCAATTATTTTCATGAAAATGAAATCTACGGTACTCTAAATAATTAAGTACCATTACTGTCATGTGAGAAATGGAAAGGAACAGGATGATGTGTGTGTTTGTTCCGACAGGATATGAAAGGATTATTATAAGAGTCGGTGTGTAAGCCTGATAGTGCTTGTTTGTGTGTGTGTGTGTGTGTGTGTGTGTGTGTGTGTTTTATTAAGCAGGGCTTGGCAAACTGTCTGTTAGAAGCAATTAAATATAATTCTCATTTTCTGTAATATATATGAAAATATATTCAAATTAATTAAACTCATTAAAAATGAACCTACATTATAAAACTTAAAGTTAAAACCATCAGACACTTATTAATGGGTTCAGATCAATGGGATCTAGCACAGGATCATCATTTTGAACATTTTTGAAACCAAGGTGCGAAACAGCATGACAAAGCGAAGCCTCGTTTGCTGAATTCACGTGACGAGTTCGTTACAAGTTCATTACAAGCTCCTAATCTCTGATTCAAAACAAAATATTTGCAAATGTTTCAAAGCTTCATGAAGCAGTGTTTCAAAAGCGCCCTTCACTACATTCAGCACAAATTTATTTCAAGTTTATTCATTTGGAAGACACTTAAAGCAATGAATTTACCCAGCATCCCTTGGAACTGAGCACACTGTTGTTGCTAATCTAATGTTCTAGAAGTTTAGCAACAGGAACTAGCATGTTCATTAGCAAATGCTTATTATGTATAGCTGCTTTGATTTTCAGCAAGTATTCAGAACTTTTTTTTTTTCTTTTCATTGTAACATTGAAATAACTATTCATTTTTTCTTGATCACAGCTCAGTGAAGAATTCTCTTAATTGGCGTGTCTATGCTGGGACTATTTCCCAGAATGCCCTTCAGATCCCCTACTTTCTGAAGAAGATTATAGTGAATGAGAACTACAACACTAACAACAATGATTATGATGTTGCCTTGCTGAAACTCAGCAGTCCTGTTACCTTCTCCAGTGAGTTGGGTTTACTTGATGAAATAGATCACCCTAAAATGTTCACACTGCTTTTTTTTCTACAGTGAAACCATTTAGAAACCATAAAAGTACCCCAAATATAGTATTTATGGTATATGACTCATTTTCTATATTCCAAATAATCTACAGTAACATTTATCTTCTCAATCCAGGCAGTGTGCAGCCAGTTTGCTTTCCTACATTTGACCAAACCTTTTCAGATGGATCAGATTGCTGGACATCTGGCTTTGGGACAACACAAGAGGGAGCAGGTACAGACAGATTAAAATTAAAATGCATAAATATGGAAGAGGAAAAGAAATAGGACAACGAGTAACACCATGTATGATCATAATTTACCAAAACAGGACAATGTTATAGAGAAAGTAAGCATACAACATTTAGTGATTCACAAAAAGCCGACCAAAATTAAAATGAAATAGAATTAAATAAATAAATATGAATGAATGAATTAATTAATTAAATAACATTAACAACATTAAGGTATCTCTTGCATGAGATTTTTATATTCTGACAATTAGTCTCAACACAAACAATATAATGTTTTAATATACCTAATAGCATAATAATAATACAATAATTATTTAAATTGTAAATTATGTATGCATACATCATAATAGTGTTGTGTTGGCTTTAATTAATGCTGATTTTGTTCTGAAAAAAATACAGATAGAACAATTTTAACAATAATAATAACAATCATTATTAAGAATAATGAGAATTACTAATACATTAAAAAGTAAAGCATCTGATCACATTCAGGACATTAAAAATTGGGGTGGTAAATCTTAACAGACATAAAAATAGTCACAATTTTAAAAAAAATCTTAATTTTCCTAAAAATAGACTTTATTTATACAATTAAAGTCTATTAATATAAATATATGAAAATATTCTTAAAATATTCTTACAAAATAATAATATATTCAACAATTAATACCCTTTATTTTTTATTTTAATTGTATTTAATTATTTTTTGTATTCATACTGTACTCACCCTAGTACGCTTTGAAAATGCTGATTTGATCTTAGAAGTTTGCCCACGCCACAGCCTTCAATGTATATTGTCTTCTTTGAAGCTTTTAGCTGACCTTTGACTGTGAGCGTTTCCTTTGCTCTCACAGACCTTGCCTCTACAAGCCTCATGGAAGTGAAAGTGAATATCATCAACACGCTTCTGTGTAACAGCAGTCAGGTGTACCGTGGGGCCATCACCAAGAATATGATATGTGCCGGTGATATGAATGGGGGACGGGATTCCTGTCAGGTGGGTTTACCTCAGCTACTAGAGCACAAGTGACCTCAGGCAACTACATTATTCACTGTCAAAGTCTCGCCCAGTGTTTCTTTGTCTCATGACATTGATTTATTCAGGTTTGGGCAAATGCTGTATGCTGTATTATTCACATTGTTGCAATTGTGTTTTATTCAACCAAGTTTGTACGATATGCAAACATGAAACAAACTGATTTAAGAAGTACTTTATATACATATTATAATGGGTCTAGTCATGTGGTGCTACCAACCAAATCATGGGGTGCAACTAACGAGTATTGAAAACGAGTACTTTTATAAGAACTATTTATTCATTTTATATTTTACTATTCACTCATTTAAATAATGTTATACATGTTTGTCCACAATGATCTGAAGTCCATGTTCCATTTGCTTTCTCTCTGTCCTTGTCGTTGGTCTCAGGGGGACAGTGGAGGTCCGCTGGTGTGCAAGGGAGGTAATAACCGCTGGTATCTGGCTGGAATTACGAGTTGGGGAGCAGGATGTGGACAAAGACAAAGACCAGGGGTATATAGCAGAGTGACCAGCCTTCTGCCCTGGATCTACAGCAAGATGCAGGTAAGCTGGACAACATGGTCCAATGTGAGTCCACATAGTTCACTGATTCATAATGTTGTTCTTTTACCATCTAGGTACTATATACTTATTGCTTTCTCTTAACATGTTTATATCTTGTCATCTTAGCAAGAGAAGCCCTGATGCCTCTCTTCTGTATGATGTGTCCATTGCTGAAGACTAAATGACGAAAGTGGACACAGGACAAAAGATGAAGGACAAAGCAATGCACTTTGAGATGGGACAATGTTGCAATATTGTAGCCACAACTGGACAAAGAAAAACAGACTTTATTAATCTCACATTCTCCAGTCAGAAAATAATAAAACAACTCAACCTGGGAAAGCAGAGCTGCAGGCATTGAGGACCCTGTGGTCCCCTTCTGTCGCTGTGCTTTCCTCATTCTTTCCTTTGCATTTATACTGTATGTTCATTACACGCTGCTGAATCTGAGCCTCTGTTACCTCTTTAACTTGGTATCCTTGCACTGATTCTACAAAAAAATAAAAATAAAACATATTGGGAGTATTCTGCAAATATGTATCTAATAACCAAAGGGGTGTTCATTTTGTTTGAAAATCAGTGTCTATGAGCTATAATAAAATGTGGTATTGTTTTAACCCATGTGAAGGGTCCATCCTTTTCTATCTCTGATTCATACTGTTTCTTTATAAATCATGCCGAAAATGGATACAGTTTGAGCTTTATTCTCCAAATGCAACAAATTAATATAGTGGAGAATGGGGCTAGCTATGAAAAATGCTATGTCTCATTGGGCTGTAACTACTGGACAATGACACATTCTGTGTAACACTTCAGTTGAAAGAGTGCAAGGTAAGCTATATAGATAAACACTTAATATTTGGCAACTATTTTACAATAAAAATTGTACACAAGCAAGAGTAATATTTCGTCAAATTTTGCGTTTTGAATTAAAATATATTATTTAAAGCTGCAGTCCGTAACTTTTTTGTGTTCAACATTTATATAATAAGCGACTACACCATGAATCCATTTTCCAAACCGTGTTTTTGGCTTGTCCTGAATCACTACGGTACACCTATAATAAGTGTTTATATTCGGACTATTTAGATTGGTTCGGGTAGGTACCGCTGCGGAGTAGCCCGGTACCTGCGTGATTCGCCATAGATATAAACAGAGAAGTAGCTCCGGCTACAATGTTCTTCCGCAAGACGCACGCAGTTCTGTTTATTAACCACTAGAGCGCCAAAAGTTACACTGCAACTTTAAGTGATTAATGTAACGCAATTGAATGTGGTGAGGGAAAAAAATAACAGAGCCATTTTTAGCATATTAAGCACACGAATAAGAGTGAATATGTGCACATTGTGAATGGATTTAATGAACTCTTGAAACATGCAATACTTTTTTCTTCTTCTTTTGTAGCCAAGGCTTTAAGTCATGTGTCTATACAACTGACTTTCAAAAGTACATCCACATTGATAAATATTCACTGGAGTAAAAAGTGTTAAACCTAGTTCCAGTTTGTTCTGTGAATCCTTTTGCGGGCCACCCCCAGTCCAGAGGAAAATATTGTTTTGGAATCAACTTTGTCCCAGACGTTTCTCCTAAAATAACATTGGATAAAAAGAGAGAACACTGCTGAGAGCTAGGAGCATTTCATGAGAAATGTCAGACTTTTGATTGTCTTTGGTATCTATCCAAACTTGAGCAGTCTGAGACATTATAGAGATCTCCTCTGAAAGTGACATTGCGGCATGTCATTTTCTCGGGAGAAACATCTGTGAAGCTGAAGAGTTCAGTAAAAGTTCGGATTTGCTTTGCATCATTGCATAAGTAAACACACTGAATTTGTGAGAACACCGAACAAATACAAACAGTATATATTTTCTTGTGGAGTCATTACGAAAAGCTCTGTGTGGACTTTTGGATGGACTTTGAAGACTCATGTTTCACGAGTTTGCACTAACATATAATAGGATTGATCAAGTTGGTAAGCATATTTGGCGTGCTGTCCAGAGGGAGGGCTCCGAGCTCGGGAGAGAGCCCGACCCCCGAGCCGAGAACTCCCCTTATCCCTAAAAATGGGATGAGAAATAGAATAAGAGTGAGGAGCTGGGGTGGAGGAGGGATTCTGGAAAACTGTCGTCGGTCAGAGGTAAGTTGGCTGTATATATAGCCTATACACCTGTTGTGCTAGTTAAGGTGAGCTAAGGAGCTCCAACTGTGCCGAATTGATTGGTTATCTGATCGTGCTCCTCCCGAACCTTGTTAATGAAACATCATTATGTGACCGTGCACGCTTTTAAAGACCAACCAACACTCGCGACCAACGCGTGCGGTGTCTCTCATTGCGCGCGTGGCGGGGCGGGAACCGAGAGAGCGCGAGAGAAGAGACAGGGACAAGCCAACCGTCAATATATTTATATTAGAAAAGAGTAGGTGAATCTTGTTTACTGCTATACAACATCAGTCGCTCGTTTACGTGGACTTGTATCCATTAATATATTTTCTCTCCATTTCAAAAAGCCAAAAAATCCACTTATCAGACAACGACTTGAGGACCATACAGTCGTGCGGATCGTGTCAGCGTTTGACCCACTATTGCCCATCCACTTACAAGTACCCGAGACGAGGTAGGGTATGAAGTCACTTATCCAACTAGGGCGTATGCTGTTGCTTTATAGTCTTAGTGATGTTGCATGGTGTTTACTCGTTATAAAGAAGGTATTTTGGAAAGACGTGCGTCAAGCCCCGCTTTTATTCCAATGACATCATCAGTCTAAGTATCGTAAACATTTCATAAATGGGCAGTGTGCATTTCAACCGCAATATTATTGTCAGATGCATTATACAGTTTACACATCAGAAGTGAATTCTGATTTTATTAAACACATGTATGAATATAAAATGCTGTAGAATGACAGCGCGCTGTTATTGTTGCGCGAGGGTGTGTCCGAATTGCTTTGTGCCTTTTTGCCTCATTAAAGCGTTAAATGACTATTTGCAGAACCTCAATACATCATTTATGTTCATTTATGTTATAGTTTGGCATATTATTATGAGTGATGTATTTGTGTTATAATAAGACAGATGTGAAAATCTGAAATGAGAGGGGAAATGGTGATTGCGCGCGAGCGGATTACAGTTTAATTACTAAGGAAAATGTATCAGCGCGTGAAAAAATGAGCTTTTAGTATGCGTGCAGAAGGAAATCCACAGGTGGGGAGGGGTTCAATGATGACTACGACTGAGCTCCGCGCCCACAACAGGTAGCGGGTTATATTCGGTACTAATTGACACGTTATAAAAGGAGGGAGTAGAGTTAAAGTGCTCATTACGCGGCGCTCTCTGGAATACCTGATTCTGATTGGTCAGTGCTTACATATTTCATAATATTGATTGTTATTACATATCTATTCTTAAGTAAGATGTTCCAATTCAAGCCAAAATATCATGTCCATTTTTCGTAGTCGTGTATTAAGTGGGGTGATGTACTCAAACAAACCCCTTCAGGGTGATTAAGACAAGGTGATCATTATTATTTTGGGAAATTATTATCTAACGGGACTTATCCCTTACAATTTAATACATTTAACAATTATCTTATGTCCCGCGTTTCGACGACGTGCTGTTATGTACTGAATGCCATCGCGTTTCAATTTCCAAATGTTTGATTTTCCAGGATGTTTGGGCAAGGAATTGTCCTGCCCTTTATCAAAAAATGATAGCCATAATTTTCAGTTTCTAGGTTACCATCACTATCTCTTTCAAAACTACAGCCAGCTTTCTGCACTAATAACCGTAATCACCTGACGAATACGGTTGCCATAGCAATATTTCTGCACCGTGGTAGAGGCACGTCTGGCAGCGCGCCAATGAAAGCTTTGTTGTCGTGGATACAGTTTACCCTCGTTTGGGTTGTGATGAAGGGCTTGAGGGTCTCACCTTAAATAGTCAACGATGACCTATTGCTCACAGCAAAATATTATTCAATAAACTGAAATCCTAGATCTGTCACAATAAATATTCTAAATATAAATATCTTGCTCATCTGAAAAATGGTAAGGAGTAATTATGGGACACTGACACCACATATGACAGATGGTGTATTAATCAGAAATCATATGAGCTTACCAAAAAGAAAAGAGTATACAGTGCATCAATATCGTTTTGCCGTCTATTGTATACTAGCATTTTCTGTCATCAACACCCCTGCAGGCATTTCAGCAGTTTACTTACACAGTATCACATTGTTTCTAAATGAAAGAGATGCAATTTATTTAATTGCAATGGGCTCAGATATCATTTTGCACATGAAACAGAAGGAGGGAAGGGAAACCATTTTAAACTGCTGGCAAATAATTTTAATGGGAAAACTGCTGCCGTGAAAAACTGGATATAAATAAAAGCATATTAACAGCTAAGCAATACATTTCCTTACAGTGAAAATTACAAGAATTAAATCACAAGAAATTAGATTTTTTTTTTTTATATTGTTGCAATTATGTTTTGTATTAGTAAAAAGTTATGTCACTTGATAATGCATAAAAAAAAAACATTAAAAAGATGTTCCTACAAGTCACTGTGTAATGCATCACATTTGATTATATTTTATTTAATAAAAATCAGTTTCTTATTCTTTTTCAGTTATGTGCATGATGGTGCTTTCATGTTACTTTTTTAGTTCATGTTTATTGTATTACACTGTGAAATAATATTTATGAAAGTTTTGTTTCACTTTTATTTTTAATGTTTCTTTATGAAGTTTGACATGCTGAATATGAAAATCATATTACTTTGTAATAAATAATTAATTAAATAAATAAATAACAATGTTGATTACTTATACAAGCAAATCTGTTATTACAGATAAACATTACATGGTACATGCTTAATTCTGAGCTAACAACAGTTTAAGATCAACATTTACCAAAAGTGAGTCGTCCAAAATTTCAGAAGGATGATTTTTGTCTTTCATGACTAGTCCAACAATGTTCTGGAATGTTCCAGAAAGCACTAGAATATTACAGAATATTACAGTATGTTACAGAAACTTTTAGAATTAATTTTTAAATTATTTTAAATATGCAAAATTAGTACAAAAACTTATCTGTACTAAACCAATGTTTCAAAATTAATGACAGAATTCTAAAATTTACCTGACCTAAATATTTACCCCAAAAAATGATGCTACGTGAAAATAAATAGTACAATAATAATTAGCACTACTGAATTACAGAAGAACCATAAAAAAAAAAATAAGTGAAACATTTATCTTTTTTTACATTGTGTTATTTTAGCGTATGTGATTGTGTAGTGTGGACTCTCTTTCATGTAGTCATCTACTGTACCCATTTGCACCACTTTGTGTTACTGTAGCATTTTTAGTTGTTAGTTGAAGTTAAGATTAATTTTAATGACCAATTTATGCAGAAATCCAGATATATCCAAGGGGTCACATACTTTTTCCTTCAACAAAAATATCACATTATCACTTTGTGTAAAAGTCAAACAAAATATTGATCTCAGCTGCATATATTTCCCAATACATTCTGCCTAAAATAGGCAACTGGCGTGAGAATTTTCTCTCCTAGCTGGTGTTTTTAGTGGGCCTAAAGGGCATAAAAAAGAGCTAATTAGATGGGGAGAGAAACTGCTCCAGTTCTGGCACAATAAATGCGTGTAAACACTTGCACTCTTACACCTAGTCATGAGAGCTCTCAGTCGGCGCCAAGCTCTGTTGATGAAATTATTCCCTCTCATCCATAGCGCGAGTCATATCAATGAAGTCAGATTCTCTCAGCTTCTGACATATGGTTAAGTAATTGATTACAAGATCAAGCAGTATTTGATGATGAAATCAGTCCAGCAAAAATAGCACAACATATGCACTTTGTTTGTGACTGGTTGACGTCTTACATAAGATACTCTTCTGTTCAAAATGTGATGCATTTTGCGGGACACTCAAAAACAGTGTGATGCAAACACCTAAGTAAATAAAAAAAAAATAATAATAAAAATTACATTATCTAGGACGACTCTACCAATCCCTTTGTGCAGGCAGTTGTTTGTTTGTATTTGCTACTCATCAGTATAGAAATCCATAATTCATATGATGGTCATTGGGAGTGATCTTGTTTGCAAGTCATCCAGATATAGCGACAGTCTTCCTTTTGTCTTCAGGGAACACAGGAAATATCTGTGGCCGAAAACATAGTCTCAATTGACTTTTAGGGTGAATTTCATGGTCAGCGACCACCTGGGAAGGCTTTTACTCAGAAGAAAAAAATGTATTGGTGCATCTAACTATAGCACTCTGTCGATATGTCTGCTGAGGTCAGAGGCTGTGTTTGATAATTAAAGCCAGACGAGTCTCGTCTCCTGGCGTCCGTGAATTAACTGGCTTCTGCTGACTGAAAGGTACAGAGCAAGGGTTCCTAAAAGAATAGTATGCATCCCCAAGAGGATGGGAAATATATCGCATAAATATGACATATACAATGAGACAGTACACTGTTGACCGACATTGAAGGTGCATTCATGTGATGAATGATAGTGATGAGCGCTTTCAAAACACTGCTTCAAAAGCTTTGAATCCTTTGCAAAACATTTTTGAACCAGTGGTTCGGAGTGCATTTCAAACTGCCAAAGGTATGTGATTTCAGTAAACAAGGCTTCGTTATGTCATAGCTGTTTCAAAATGTCTTGAAAATTCAGTGCTTCACCATTGGGATGCTCTCTCTGCCAACCCTGCTGCTGCTGTTGGCTATTGCAGTTGTTGTAGATTATTGCTCCTGCTGATGCTGCTAAGCAAGTACACTTGCTACTGCCAATACATACACCGACACAGTGCTGTGAGTATTTAAGACATACTGCTGCTGCACAGATAGCATATAAAATAACCCGTAGCAGATCTATACAGGTGGAGCTGGGGAAGGTGGAAGGTTTCAGAGGAACTCTGAAAGCATGCTGTGAAATGCTCTAGTGAATATTAACCAGCCATTCATATTTAAAACAGCAAGTTCAATGGTGGTGTACATGAGCCAATCAGCTTGTGCCAAGTCGTTTAATGCTGTGAATATCATCAATTTGCATTAAGAACCCATCAGCCTGCGCCATCTAGAGTTTCATGACAGAACTTGGCATTTATGACCAGGAGGTGTCACCAGTATGTAATGTTTCGAGCACTTCGAAAAAGTGAATCATTTTGATTTAAAGCTTGTTTCTCCCATCACTAGGGCTGTATCCAAAAATTGCCCTGTATACCCTTAAATATAGGGCACTATTTGACGACACATGAATTTGTAATGGTGTCCGAAACCATAGAGGATGTTGAGTGCACTCATTCAATCCCATAATGCATCACAATAACGAGTGTACAACTGATGTACACTCAGCGGCTAGATAATACCCATAATGCACTGTGAGGGTTGTGTCAAATGAATTCCCATGTTTGGTCAGAAGACGAATCGTCCATCCATCTATTTTCTAAAATGATTGTCCAATGTGGGTACAGCATAATGTCATACAGGTATACATTTCTTGTTAATTGATTATTAAATAGTTGAATTAAGGTCTATGCATGCTAGTTTTTAAACTTTGCAAAAGCGGTTGCCCTTCCGGCGCACTCTGT